CCCCAAAACCCCAAAACCCCAAAACCCCAAAACCCCTCAAAGTTAACTACTTATTGAATTTGTCAATAAAAATTCTTAATAAAATGCTGATCTCTGAAACTTCAATTAATACCAGTGCGAAGAATCACTCTCCGTCACAAAGTACGGATCTTCATTTATCTTTCTTTAACCCTTCTAATACCTATGTAGTTCTTATGAGTCATTGTAAAGGATCTCAAAAATCGGCTGAAAAAACAAAGATCACAAGTAATTACCACTATAAATTTTCATCTAATTTCTTTTAATAGTTGAACTCAAAAATTTACCATTTGTTAGATCATTTATTGACCAAGACTCATGGGTTCCTCAGTACATGCTAGAAGCTCAGAAAATTAAAAAGAGGCACAAAGAGGCTAATAAAAGGCGTCTAAATCTCAAACAAGAGGTACATCTCTTCTCCAAAAAACTCTAAAATATCTCTGAAGTCCTCATCTCTGTTAGATTTTCCACCTCAGATATTAGCAAATATAAAAATAAGACCATGCAGATTTTATAAATCTGTTTAAATTTTCTATCCTCAATTAGTCACCAAGCGATACATCTGAGATACTTTCTTGAACTAAACTCTTGAGTCTTTTCCTTCCATAAAGTTTATCGGTTACAGGATAGTTAGAAATTTTATAATCGTCACCATATTATGGAAAGATGTTATTAGAATTGGGAGAATTAGTTTTTGAGTAACTTACTAATCGAAGATTTGTTGCAAACGTCCGAAATTTGGCACTAGAGTGATATGCCCTACCAGTTTTGCTATGCATATCCAATTTGTCAGAGAGTTTGTCAATTTAACTCATAGCTCATAAACATGGTAAATGATGATTTGATGGGATATTTCAGAAATAAAGTTGCTGAAAAGGTAAACCATTTTATTTACCTTCAGAAAGCAAATCAAAGATGCCCAAGTAGTATTTTATCTAATATCAACTGGTATTCTTCAGGTAAATTAGCAGGATTTTTTGGGTAAATTTTGGTTAATGAATCCCATATTTTATGAAATTGATGAAATCATCATTTTAGAGAGTATTCCACTGAATAAAGAAGAAGTAAGAATGACAAATAGTTCCCAAAACTTTGTTTTGAAACTCACCTAGATTAGGCAATAAAGATTAGAAGTATCCAAGCAGATAGATTTGATCCGAATGAGGAGAGGCCCAGAGCAACTTCTTTTCAGGACCAACAGAGGTTGAAGCAGGATCCGTTCTTTACCAAAGTATGGCTTATTTTTATGACCAAATCTTGTGTCCTGGTCTTAGCCTATCTGAAATTTGATGGATATAAATATTTACTAATTTTAACAATACCATATAGAGGAGACTCAAATATTGCAGAGCTAATAGGACGAGACATTTGGAAAAAGAGGCCAAAATGTATATACTCGTGATTATCTTTAGCCAGAAAAGCTCAAGCATAGATGTCCTTTATAGAAGAAGTCCTCAGAAAAAGGGCAGTATAGCCAAAGGTGGCATCCTTCAATTGAATTGTTCCCAAGAGAGAGGGCTATATTTTAAGAGCAAGAGTAAACCCAGTTGTAGTGCAGAAGCTATCTTTTGCTCCTTTATTTCAAATATTTTAGTGCTTATTCATGCATGATAGCATGATTTGTGAAGTTTCATTATAGAAGATCTGAATAATTCAAAATCTTCCAAATATTTCAGAAAGCTATCTCAGAGTAAGTGTTTTCCAAAGAAGATTATTAATTTTCTAGAAAACTACCGTATACAACCTAAATTTGGTCGGACTCTTAGTAGGAAAGTGATGCTGAAAAATATCAAAACTCTCAAAAATGCTAAAAACTAAGAGAATTGTCTTAAATTTCAATAATAATTTAATTGAATGGGGTTTTGGGGTTTTGGGGTTTTGGGGTTTTGGGG